ATAAAATATGATAACTATTACACACAATGGTTCAGCTGTCTGTAGAGTTTATGTATTTATAGTAAACTTTATTGTACATTTAGACAACAAAACTTCATAGTGGGCTTCCCTGGTGGCGCAGTGGTTGAGAGTCCGCCTGCCAATGCAGGGGACACGGGTTCATGCCCCGGTCCGGGAAGATCCCACATGCCGCGGAGCGGCTGGGCCCGTGAGCCATGGCTGCTGAGCCTGCGCGTCCGGAGCCTGCGCTCCGCAACGGGAGAGGCCACAACAGTGAGAGGCCTGCGTACCGCAAAAAAACCAAAAAACCAAAAAAACAAAAATCTTCTTAGCAGATGGTAAGATATGAAGACAGAATAGTGTGAGTGTGGAATGGGCATGTGGGGAGAGCTGGCTTTGTGTGTGAACATGAGCCTAGTTCTTACCTTCCAGGGTGGCAGGTCAGTAGATAATGTTAAAACAGAAAAAACAAGAAGTAGCAATATAAGCATGATATTTAGTGATATAGAGATCAATACCCAAAGAAGTTAAAAGAGGTGAAATGAGTGCTTCTGGGAATAGGAAATAGTGCCACATGGGTGCTATTTCTCACATAGTAGTTTGAATATTTTTGTTCCTTTTTTTCCCCTGGGTTTGTAGTTGTTTTTATATTTTCTCAGTTTTATTGATATATAACTGACATACAGTACTGTATAAGTTTAAGGTGTATAGCATAATGATTTGACTTACATACATCATGAAATTATCACAATAGGTTTAGTGAACATCCATCATCTCATATCGATACAAAATTAAAGAAATGGAAGAAGGTTTTCCCTGTGTTGTACAGTATATCTCTAATATTTACTTATAACTGGAAGTCTGAACCTTTTGACTACCTTCATCTAACTTCCTCTCCTTCCACCCCCGCCGCCCCAACCTCTGGTAGCAACAAATCTGATCTCTTTTTCTATGAGTTTGCTTGTTTGTTTGTTTGTTTTTGAAGTATAACTGACCTACAACACTCAGTTTCAGGTACACAACATAGTGATTCAGTATTCTGTACATTTCAAAATGATCACCATGCTAAGCCTAGTTATGATATATCACCGTACAAAGATATTACATAGTTATTGACTATATTCCCTACTGTACATTTCATACCTGTGTGTATTTTGCAACTGGAAGTTTGTATCTCTTAATCACCCTCACTCATTTCTTTCCTCTCCCCACCCCTCTCCCCTCTGGCAACTACCTGATTGATCTCTGTACCTGTAACTGTTTCTGTTTTGTTATGTTTGTTAATTTGTTTTGGTTTTTAGATTCCACCTATAAGTGAAATTACATGGTATTTGTCTTTCTCTGTCTGCTTATTTCATTTAGCATGATACTCTCTAGGTCCATCCATGTTGTCGCAAATGGCAAGATTCCATTCTTTTTTATGGCTAATATTCCACTGAATATATACACCACATCTTCTTTATCCATTCATCCACTGATGGGAACTTAGGTTGCTTCCATATCTTGGCTATTGTAAATAAGGCTGAAATGAACATGGGAGTGCAGGTATTTTTTCTGATTAGTGTTTTTGTTTTCTTTGGATAAATACCCAGGAGTGGAGTTGCTAGATAATGTGTAGTTCTATTTTTGATCTTTTGAGGAATCTCCATACTGTTTTCCGTAATGACTTCACCAATTTACATTCCCACCACCAGTGCATGAGGGTTCCCTTTTCTCCACATCCTTGCCAACACTTGTCATTTGTTGTCTTTTTGATAATAGCCATTTTGAAAGGTGTGAGGTGATATCTCAGGGTGTTTTGGTTTGCACCCTGATGATTAGTGATGTTCAGCCACTTTTCCTGTGCCTGCTGGCTATCTGTGTGTCTACTTTGGATAAATGTTTATTTAGATCCTCTGCCCATTTTTTAATTGATTTTTTTTAATGTGGAGTTGAATGAGTTCTTTGTATACTTTGCATATTAGCTCCTTATCAGATACATAGTTTGCAAATATTTATCCCATTCAGTAGGCAGCCTTTTCATTTTGTTGATAGTTTCCTTTGCTGTGCAAAAGTTTTTTAAGTTGGTTGTAGTTACATTTGTTTATTTTTGCTTTTTCCCCACTTTTCTGAGGAGACGTATCCAAAAAACCATTATTAAGACCAATGTCAAAGAGTATACTGCCTATGCTTCCTTCTGGAAGTTTTATGGTTTCAGGTCCTACATTTAAGTATTTAATCCATTTTGAACTTATTTTTGTTCATGGTATGAGAAAGTAGTCCACTTTGATTCTTTTGCATGTAGCTGTCCAGTTCTCTGAATACCATTTTTTGAAGTGGCTGTCTTTACTGCATTATATATTGTTGCCTCCTTTGTAGTAGATTAACTGCTCATATAAATGTGGATTCATTCCTGGGCTCTCTGTTCAGTTCCATTGATCTATGTTTCTGTTTTGGTGCCAGTACCATACTCATTTGATTACTGTAACTTTGTAGTATAGTTTGAAATCAGGGGGGCATGATACCTCCAGCTTTGTTCTTCTTTCTCAAGATTATTTTGGCTATTTGGGGTCCTTTGTATTTCCATACAGATTTTAGAATTATATGTTCTGGTTCTGTGAAAAAACCATTTGTAATTTGATAGGGATTGCACTGAATGTGTAGATTACCTTGGGTAGTATGGTCATTTTAGCAATATTAATTCTTCAAATTCATGAGCACCATATATCTTTCCATCTCTTGGTGGTGCCTTCAATTTCTTTCACCAGTGTCTTATGGTTTTCCAGGTACAGGTTTTTTACCTCCTTAGTTAGATTTATTTTTAGGTGTTTTATTATTTTGATGCAATTGTAAATGGAATTTTTTCTTAATTTCTTTTTCTGATAGTTCATTGTTAATGTATAGAAATGCAACAGATTTTTGTATATTAATTTTGTATCCTGCAACTTTATCAGATTCATTGACGAGCTCTAGTAGTTTTTTGGTGGTATCTTTAGGATTTTCTACATATAGTATCATGCATCTTCAAACAGTGACAGTTCTACTTCTTTTTCAATTTGGATATATTTTACTTATTTTCCTTGTCTGATTGCTGTGGCTAGGACTTCCAATACTATGTTGAATAAAAGTGGTGAGAGTGGGCATCATTCTCTTGTTCCTGATCTTAGAGGTAGTTTGAGTGTTTTATATAACAAGTTTTGTAGAATTATAGACTTTTTAAACTATGCGACTATGTATTTTGATTAAAAAATGCATATTTTGAAAAAGTCACCTAGATCATACCGCTGGCTTCAAGGAGATTTTTAAAAAAATAAACCCATTTCTTATATCTTGCCATGGCATGCTTCTTACATTGGAAGCTTAATTGTCATGGAAGTTGTCATCAGATATTAGAGCTAGAAAATTTTAGAGCTCGATCTTCTAATTGAACAGTGTAATTTTACAGAGAAGAAAACACATTGAGAGAGGAGAAATGACTCATCCAAAGTCACACAGTACGTTCCAGATTTAGGGTCTAGGGTTCCTGACTCCTGACCCAGTGTTCATTCTGGTTAACTGCACTGCCTCTTGATCATTTGTATACACTTCATTGCCCTGTTCAACTCAGAGTATTAGGGGGCTGTTTGAAACCCCGTGAAATATATAACATTGCTCTCTATTGGATGCTGGCAGGAAGGAAGGGTTCTGAAGAAGTCACACCAGCCACTGAAAGCCAGATCTTATTGGGAAGTCCTCTATCAATGGTGGGAATACCATAAGACATATACTGTATAAGTCTTGCTATAGTGTAGTTTCAGTAATAAATAATAATGGCTTTGTCAGTAGGACTGCATTGTAAGAGAAGGGTTTATGCATAGTATGGTGAAGATGATGGGTCAGATACCACTAGGTGGGCAGATTAATTGCAGTTTAATGGCCGTTGAAGATGAATTGCCTTTTCTGACCTCTGGGTTCCTCCTGAGGGTCATAGTTCCATGGAACACAGCTGTTGGGGTGAATATAGTCCTAAGCAGAGTTTCTGATACCAAGGGAGGGGCTTGCTTGACTGGCAGGACGTGATGTATTCTGAGACCCACCTTCATGTTAAAAATACTATGATTAAAAGCAGTATAAACCTCCAAATGGGGTAGTAGTTTAATGAAGTGATAGCATTTATAAAGAAGAGCTGGCTTTTGAAATATAAAAGTATAAAAATGGTGCTGTCCTGAAATATTAAGAAATGTTTATAAGCATCAAAATTTCATCCTATAACAAATACTTTCTCAGGGTTTTTCCAAAAAAGAACTTTTCATTGGAATAATGATCCATAAAACTCTTTTCATCATATCATAGATAAGGTGACCAATTTTACCTATGATATTTAACTATGATTTATATAGCTTTGAAACATTCTAATGCTGTTATGGTTCAAGCTTCATGTCTTTGAAAAATGCTTTGATACTGACTTCCACATTTGGACTCTTCCAAAATGTAGGTCTGATTTTTAAACTTATATTTCAAAATCATAGTTTGTCTCTTTCAAAATCTAGTTCTGGTAGTAAGTTAGATTTATGAGTTATTTAATGCAAAAAATGGATTTATGCAAAAATTGTAGATGCCTCCCACACTTTTGTCCTTGACTATAAAAAATGGAAGAGAGGAAACTGAGGGAAAAGTAAGATGATCTACAGATAAAATGACTATTTATGTGCAACAACTGGATTGATAACTGTAAAACAGAACAAGAGCTAGAAGACATAGCTCTATAAACTAGTGGGGTTTTTAAAAATAAAAGGTTACTCTGCAATGATATTTTTAAGAAATGTGCAAAATTTATTTTCAGATCTCATCACATATCTTTTGGTTCACATCAAATCTGTAAAGCTCATCAATCTGGCACTTTTTCAGATCAACAGAAATCAGTCTCAGAAAGTAAATAATTATTGAGTTTAAAGCAGAAAGAGTTTTTAGCTTGTTGCTGTTATTTTGATAATGCATCTAACTATCTGTATATGTCTTCCTTTACTTTCCTTGCTGCACAGGTTTGCCATCAGCAAATTTGGCTGCACCTAACCTCACTGTGGAGGAGGGAAAGTCTATCACATTAACTTGTAGCGTTGCAGGCGATCCAGTTCCGAATTTATACTGGGATGTTGGTAATCTGGTTTCCAAGCATATGGTAAGGCTTGTGTTTGACTGTGCGTTCATAGAGATGACAGTGTCTCAGAACTTGAGATTGTATTAACCTAGTGAAAATCACTTAATATTTTATAGGGCCACATAGAGAGATTTACAATGAGTTTTTGCTGTGCATTTACTTTCTATCTATTCTTATTTAACAAAGACTAATGCAGGTTGCATTTTAGTTTTTTATACCCCATAGATTGGAGAGTCTGTAGGTCTCTAGTAAACTTTTTATGTCACTGTGAGGAAGGTGAGTGACTCTCCTTGTGGTGTTTTCCCTCGGAGGAAAGTAGGTAGGAATTCAAGGATTAAATCAACTTTCACACATTAAATAATTGAAATCTAGAGAAATAGAATAGCTTCTGATTAACTCCTTTGCCTAAGCCTGATTAGGCTAGAAACTTTTTTCTAATGTTATAGGTGATTTTCTGCAGTTAGGGGAAGAAACCCCAAATCTTGTTACTTTGGGTTCAGTTCTAACCAAGATTATGTTTGTCTGTTAATTCATTTGTAGAATGAAACAAGCCACACACAGGGCTCCTTAAGGATAACTAACATTTCATCTGATGACAGTGGAAAGCAAATCTCTTGTGTGGCAGAAAATCTTGTAGGAGAAGATGAAGATTCTGTCAACCTCACTGTACATTGTACGTAATCAGATCAGCATGTGTTTTTAATAGCAGATGATTGTGGATTTGTGGTTGGGGCACTCTGGGTGCTACTTTAGTGCATTAAAAAAGTATATGCAGTGTTTTGTGTATCCTTAATTAAGAAATATTATCAGCCCCTTTCACTTGTCCTATTTCTTCTAATCTCTCTTGTTCATGTGTTATCTTTAAGCATCTTTTCCGATTTTAAGCGTGTCCTCTTGTGCCTTCCCCTGTCTTGTCTTGATAGAACGTATTTTGAGCTGGTTATCCTCTTTTTGTTAATAAGTTGTAGTTTAAATTCTGATAAACCAGTTTCTAAATTTTTTTTTCTCTGTAAAAACAATATGAACCATTAAAGTTGTGATACCTAAAGTACTGAGCTGCCTGTTCACAAACACCTAATTATACTGTTGATACCAAAAAAAAAAATACCCCATTTATTTGACATCAAGCTTCTGTGGGGAATTGGAGGAGTCCTACTTAAATGACTGAAAATTATTATCACCTGCAAAAAAACTTTTATAACTGTTTGAAATTTCTCTCTACTGAAGACATGTGGTATTAAAGTTTCTTAAGCATATGTACATTATTTTCCAGTATCATAAGCAATACAACATATAACTTAACATTCCAGATTGTTGCATTCATTGTGAATGGTGTATGTATTCAGTAAAAAATACATAATCTTCACATGAGTGGAAATTCTGAGCTGCCATGGTATAAAGTAACGAGGTTTTACTCTGTTTGGATTAGGATTTGGATGAGAAAAACACGAGTGTGCATGTGTGTAAGTATGAATATACATTACACACATGTAGGCACAAGGTTTGAGACACTGGTTAACATTCACTTATAACACACATTCCGTATGTGATTGTTGGAGTGAATGATTGAAATCACCAACCTTTTGTCACTGTCAATACTACCCCGACACCCAGAAGGTCCTGGACTCATAATTTCTCATCATTTTGACCCACATGGAAGCTTGAAGTCAATGTCATCCCCAAACACATGCAACCAGTTTCCAGCTTTATGTCCTTAAGTCAACACCTCACATAAAGCTAATTTGAGCGTGGTGACAGGAAAAAGTGAGGCCTAGGCCTGGGCACCTGGGCTGGTAGGAGGAAGGTAAGTATTGTCCCTGCCCCATCGTGGTCCTTGTGTTTGTGACACAGACCTATAAGTAAGGGCACTCCAATTCAAATTTTTCTCAGTTTAGGTTAATATCTATGTAGTCTCCATGGTCTTGAGAATTGGCCATGTCTATCAAAGTTTAGATAACAAGTAGAAGGAATAAGTGATAAAGAATTTTAGCAACTGAGACATCCTTTGCAGTGATCCCACTCAGAGTGTATTTGTTAGCAGGCTATGATTTCCTCCCCTTTGTGTGATGAACATATACAACCAGGAAGCAGTGCATGAGGGGAAGGGCTACTGGATTAGGTATTAGGAGATCTGGATTCCTGTTCCAGATTTTCCTCACTCAGTAACCTTGACCAAGTCACTTAACCTTATTGCACTTGGGTTTCTTCATCTGAAAAATGATGCTATTAGGTCTCAAAGGTCTCTTCCAGTCCTTGATTTTATAATTATCAAAGTCAGACCACATAAAAATAAACAATTATGAGGGATTTTAAATAGCTTCACTCAGGATAAGTACTCTGTTTAAAGATGCTACTTGATAATGTTTGTTTCCCCTAAGAATAAAGTGCTTTATACTTCAGGTTAAAATAATCTCTAGTTTGTTTGTTCGGGTTTAGATAGGACCTCAGACATTTAAAGGAACAAAACTTTGATATCTCCAATTCCAGCAAAAATGGGTGTACTGTAATGAAAAGTAGTGCTTTTAAAGAGAGTTTCCTATTGACCATCGGTGAAAAATATTATCAATTTATCAGACTTTATAGTAGTCAATCAACATCGATAGCGACATTCATTGCATTGACCAGTTTTACTTGTTTTAGAGAAGTTATGCAAGATCAGGGCTTCAGGCAAGATTTGCAAAGTCATTTTTGTCATTATTTGTATTATTTAGTGAAGTCCTTTACAAATAGTGGTCCTCAATGTTTTGGTGACTAATCTCTCTAGTATCAAAGGCATATGTATTAGAAACCAAAGTCAACTTCAAATGAACGCTTTCCACTGTCAGAAATCTCAGGGATCTGTTTGGAGTTGGTTCTCACACTGAATAGATGTGAAAATGACTACAATGCATGGGCTTTAAGCAGAGCAGGGAAAGGAGTCTCTCTGAAGCTCTCTGTAGAAGTTAAATCAACCTTGATGATGATACAAAATATTGATGGATTCCAGAGTTGTGGGTCATGTGTTTTCTTAAACCAAACAATAGTTGAATAAAAATCCCCTATTGATGACACAGAGATCTGGAGATGGGGAGAATTCTGAGCTTTCTGATGCTATTAACTCTCTCTTTTTCAATTTAGTTGCTCCAACTATCACATTTCTCGAATCTCCAACCTCAGACCACCACTGGTGCATTCCATTCACTGTGAAAGGCAACCCCAAACCAGCGCTTCAGTGGTTCTATAATGGGGCAATTTTGAATGAATCCAAATACATCTGTACTAAAATCCATGTTACCAATCACACGGAGTACCACGGCTGCCTCCAGCTGGATAATCCCACTCACATGAATAATGGGGACTACAAGTTAGTAGCCAAGAATGAGTATGGGAAGGATGAGAAACAGATTTCTGCTCACTTCATGGGCTGGCCTGGAATCGATGACGGTGAGTACCTGATGTTTTTGCATCTGGGGAGAAGACAGGGTATATCACTCAATTACTGACAAAATCATGCCAAAGCCAAGTCCAGGGGCAGGGATTCATACTCTTTCCATGGAGGTGATGGGGATGAATAACTTTGAACAATATTCTGATAAACAAACATTATTTTTCTCTCGAGTGTTACATGAGATTTTGTATCCACAATGGCATAACCCAAACAAATCTGTGAGTGGGTGAACTGTATTTGGTTGGCTCAGGAACTATTTAAGATATATTTTCTAGTCCCTTATCCATTTGGGACTCAGAATCCTGCTCTCTCATCCATGGATGAGAAACTAGTGTTGTGGAATGTTTTGCTTACCTGGGCTGACTGAGTTGTGGCATCCTTTGATGGGATCCTGAATTGTTTTCCTAGGAGTGGTAAAAGTTCCAATCTGACCAGTGGTTTGGGTTGGGAAAAGGTTGGCTGGCACCAGGAGTCCGGTACATGGTCAGCAGAAGAATTTCAGTGGGAGCCTCAGTAAAAGCAGTGATGGTGTCATGCATTTACCTGCTCCAGTTACTCTTGCTCAGTGAGGTATTCTTACTTGCTTGATTGTGTTGCCCAAATGTGTTGCCCAAATGGTACTATTGTACAGACTGAGCCCTGTGTTTGGATACTGGGACCTGTACATGATTAGAATTCCTCACCATCATAGCCCCGAGGTAATCAAAGCCACACAAAAACAGCCTTGCAGAGGGGAAGGGAAAATAGAAACTTGGAGGCCCATGGGGTAGGGGCTGCTTGGGCAGCATGTGCTAGTGTGGCTCGCAGGGCAGCCACACGGACAAAGGTGATGGCTGCAAGCCACCTTCACCAAACGAGAATGCAATAATTCTCATTACACAATACATCTTCCTGTTATCCTGGTATTTATTTAACAGCATTTTATTTATTTATTTTGATTCTAAACTCTTTATTTATTTATTTTTTTACATCTTTATTGGAGTATAATTGCTTTACCATGGTGTGTTAGTTTCTGCTTTAAAACAAAGTGAATCAGTTATACATATACATATGTTCCCATATCTCTTCCCTCTTGCGTCGCCCTCCCTCCCACCCTCCCTATCCCACCCCTCTAGGTGGTCACAAAGCACCGAGTTGATCTCCCTGTGCTATGCGGCTGCTTCCCACTAGCTATCTATTTTACGTTTGGTAGTGTATATATGTCCATGCCACTCTCTCACTTCGTCACAGCTTACCCTTCCCCCTCCCCATATCCTCAAGTCCATTCTCTAGTAGATCTGTGTCTTTATTCCTGTCTTACCCCTAGGTTCTTCATGACATTTTTTTTTTCTTAGATTCCATATATATGTGTTAGCATATGGTATTTGTCTTTCTTTTCCTGACTTACTTCACTCTGTATGATAGACTCTAGGTCCATCCACCTCACTACAAATAACTCAATTTCATTTGATTTTATGGCTGAGTAATATTCCATTGTATATATGTGCCACATCTTCTTTATCCATTCATCCAATGATGGACACTTAGGTTGTTTCCATCTCCTGGCTATTATAAATAGAGCTGCGATGAACATTTTGGTACATGACTCTTTCTGAATTATGGTTTTCTCAGGGTATATGCCCAGTAGTGGGATTGCTGGGTCATATGGTAGTTCTATTTGTAGTTTTTTAAGGAACCTCCATACTGTTCTCAATAGTGGCTGTACCAATTCACATTCCCACCAGCAGTGCAAGAGGGTTCGCTTTTTGCCACACCCTCTCCAGCATTTATGGTTTCTAGATTTTTTGATGATGGCCATTCTGACCGGTGTGAGATGATATCTCATTGTAGTTTTGATTTGCATTTCTCTACTGATTAATGATGTTGAGCATTCTTTCATGTGTTTGTTGGCACTCTGTATATCTTCTTTGGAGAAATGTCTATTTAGGTCTTCTGGCCATTTTTGGATTGGGTTGTTTGTTTTTTTGTTATTGAGCTGCATGAGCTTCTTGTAAATATTGAAGATTAACCCTTGGTCAGTTGCATCATTGGCAAATATTTTCTCCCATTCTGAGGGTTGTCTTTTCATCTTGTTTATGGTTTCGTTTGCTGTGCAAAAGCTTTGAGGTTTCATTAGGTCCCACTTGCTTATTTTCGTTTTTATTTCCATTTCTCTAGGAGGTGGGTAAAAAAGGATCTTGCTGTGATTTATGTCGTAGAGTGTTCTTCCTATGTCTTCCTCTAAGACTTTGATAGTTTCTGGCCTTACATTTAGGTCTTTAATCCATTTTGAGCTTATTTTTGTGTATGGCATTAGGGAGTGTTCTAAACTCATACTTTTACATGTACTTGTCCAGTTTTCCCAGCACCACTTGTTGAAGAGGCTGTCCTTTCTCCACTGTACATTCCTGCCTCCTTTATCAGAGATAAGGTGACCATATGTGTGTGGATTGCTCTCTGGGATTTCTATCCTGTTCCATTGATCTATCTTTCTGTTTTTGTGCCAGTACCATACTGTCTCGATTACTGTAGCTTTGTAGTATAGTCTGAAGTCAGGGAGCCTGATTCCTCCAGCTCTGTTTTTCATTCTCAAGATTGCATTGGTTATTCGGGGTCTTTTGTGCTTCCATACAAATTGTGAAATTTTTTGTTCTAGTTCTATGAAAAATACCAGTGGTAGTTTGATAGGGACTGCATTGAACCTGTAGATTGCTTTGGGTAGTAGAGTCATTTTCACAATGTTGATTCTTCCAATCCAAGAACATGGTATATCTCTCCATCTATTTGTGTCATCTTTAATTTCTTTCATCAGTGTCTTATAGTTTTCTGCATACAGGTCTTTTGTCTCCTTAGGTAGGTTTATTCCTAGATATTTTATTCTTTTTGTTGCAATGGTAAATGGGAGTGTTTTCTTGATTTCACTTTCAGATTTTTCATCATTAGTGTATAGGAACGTAAGAGATTTCTGTGTGTTAATTTTGTATCCTGCTACTTTACCAAATTCATTGATTAGCTCTAGTAGTTTTCTGGTAGCATCTTTAGGATTCTCTATGTATAGTATCATGTCATCTGCAAACAGTGACAGCTTTACTTCTTCTTTTCTGATTTGGATTCCTTTTATTTCCTTTTCTTCTCTGATTTCTGTGGCTAAAACTTCCAAAACTATGTTGAATAAGAGTGGTGAGAGTGGGCAACCTTGTCTTGTTACTGATCTTAGTGGAAATGCTTTCTGTTTTTCACCATTGAGGACGATGTTGGCTGTGGGTTTGTCATATATGGCCTTTATTATGTTGAGGAAAGTTCCCTCTATGCCTACATTCTGGACGGTTTTTATCATAAATGGGTGTTGAATTTTGTCGAAAGCTTTCTCTGCACCTATTGACATGACCATGTGGTTTTTCTCCTTCAATTTGTTAACATGGTGTATCACGTTGATTGATTTGCATATATTGAAGAATACTTGCATTCCAGGAATACACCCCACTTGATCATGGTGTATGATCCTCTTAATGTGCTGTTGGATTCTGTTTGCTAGTATTTTGTTGAGGATTTTTGCATCTATGTTCATCAGTGATATTGGCCTGTAGTTTTCTTTCTTTGTGACATCCTTGTCTGGTTTTGGTATCAGGGTGATGGTGGCCTCGTAGAATGAGTTTGGAAGAGTTCCTCCCTCTGCTATATTTTGGAAGAGTTTGAGAAGGATAGGTCTTAGCTCTTCTCTAAATGTTTGATAGAATTCGCCTGTGAAGCCATCTGGTCCTGGGCTTTTGTTTGTTGGAAGATTTTTAATCACAGTTTCAATTTCAGTGCTTGTGATTGGTCTGTTCATATTTTCTATTTCTTCCTGATTCAGTCTTGGCAGGTGGTGTATTTCTGAGAATTTGTCTATTTCTTCCAGGTTGTCCATTTTATTGGCATAGAGTTGCTTGTAGTAATCTGTAATGATTTTTTTTTTTTTTTCGGTATGTGGGCCTCTCTCTCCTTTTTCATTTCTGATTCTATTGATTTGAGTCTTCTCCCTTATTTTCTTGATGAGTCTGGCTAATGGTTTATCTATTTTGTTTATCTTCTCAAAGAACCAGCTTTTAGTTTTATTGATCTTTGCTATTGTTTCCTTCATTTCTTTTTCATTTATTTCTGATCTGATTTTTATGATTTCTTTCCTTCTGCTAACTCTGGGGTTTTTTTGTTCTTCTTTCTCTAATTGCTTGAGGTGCAAGGTTAGGTTGTTTATTCGAGATGTTTCCTGCTTCTTAAGGTGGGCTTGTATTGCTATAAACTTCCCTCTTAGAACTGCTTTTGCTGCATCCCATAGGTTTTGGGTCGTTGTATCTCCATTGTCATTTGTTTCTAGGTATTTTTTAATTTCCTCTTTGATTTCTTCAGTGATCACTTCGTTATTAAGTAGTGTATTGTTTAGCCTCCATGTGTTTGTATTTTTTACAGATCTTTTCCTATAATTGATATCTAGTCTCATGGCGTTGTGGTCGGAAAAGATACTTGATACAATTTCAATTTTCTTAAATTTACCAAGGCTTGATTTGTGACCCAAGATATGATCTATCCTGGAGAATGTTCCATGAGCACTTGAGAAAAATGTGTATTCTGTTGTTTTTGGATGGAGTGTCCTATAAATATCAATTAAGTCCATCTTGTTTAATGTATCATTTAAAGCTTGTGTTTCCTTATTTATTTTCATTTTGGATGATCTGTCCATTGGTGAAAGTGGGGTGTTGAAGTCCCCTACTATGAATGTGTTACTGTCGATTTCCCCTTTTATGGCTGCTAGTTTTTGCCTTATGTATTGAGGTGCTCCTATGTTGGGTGCATAAATATTTACAATTGTTATATCTTCTTCTTGGATCGATCCCTTAATCATTATGTAGTGTCCTTCTTTGTCTCTTCTCTAATAGTCTTTATTTTAAAGTCTATTTTGTCTGATATGAGAATTGCTACTCCACCTTTCTTTTGGTTTCCATTTGCATGGAATATCTTTTTCCATTCCCTCACTTGCAGT